ATAACTCAGAAGAATACTTAAATCCTTACTAATTAAGAGAAACAGGAATTGGTCAATTTGTGGACTTGGGGGGACTAAAGCTAATCTTCTCTCTGGGTATAATTCACTGGCAAAATTTTTGGGATTTTTCTCATAAGATTTGAGAAAACTGTATTTCTTCACATTTAAAAGCATTATATAACAATCCCCAAAAGTCTCTAATACTTTATTGATGGAATTATGTTTTTAGCCAGGCTCAGTTGTTGAATGCCTGCAATCCCAGCACTTGGAAAGCTGAGGCAGAAGTATGGCAAATTCCAGGCCGGCCTGGGCTACATACAAAAAAATAGAACAAAAGACATTTGCTAAACACGCCACCATTATATACCCAGAGGAATAGAGGATACAGACAGGAAAATGAGTACAATACCAAAATGAACAACCTCATACTTCGCTGCTATTTTATTTGTATATTTCTGGTTACCAAGCATTTTCTAAAGAACTGACACTATAAAAGCTACAAGTTTCTTATTACTGAAAACTGAATGATTTGGTTATTAATGGGAAAGAGGTTTTTTTTTTTAAGTCTCTAAAAAAAAAAAAAGAAAGAAAAAGAAAACCCACGCTGGAAAGATAACTCAGTGGGTACAGTGCTTGCTGCACAAGCATGAAGACCCAAGTTCCAATCCCCAAGACCCAGGCAGGTAAAAGCCAGGTACAGCAGCATGTGTCTGTAACCCAGCCCTTGGGAGGGAGGTGGAGGAGACAGGAGGATCCTAGGGCTTGCTGGCTAGGAGTTCTAGATTCAGTGATAGATTCTGTTGCAAAATAATTAATTATAATAGATAAAGTGAAATGTGATAAAGAAACCAGATGTTGACCTTTGGTCTAAACTCATACACACACACACACACACACACACACACACACATACACATACACATACACATCCAAGCCAGGTTTGATAAACTTGGGAGGTGTAGGCAGGAAGATCAAGAATTCAGTTATGGGGGCTACATGGCAAGGCCATCTGGAAAATTTTTTTAAAAAAAGAAAATCCTACCAAGAAAAACTGTATCGTTAATACCTAAATATGTGGCAAATTTAATTCTCCAAAATTATAAAAAGAGCTAAATTTTTTGAAAGTCACTAGCAAGCTCAAAGCATTCCTCCCAGTAACTGCAAAGGAGTTCAAATTCCACTACAGCAGAGTAGGCCTTCTTATGCATTCTCAACTAGTGCCACTCTACCGTCCTGTGTACTTTCCAAATCATACTTACCAAGTCTCATATTGATACAAAATTCTATATAGGGATTAGACATAACAATTTGCTGGATGCTTTTTGGTTTATCAGTTTGATGTCTCAAGTAATGACATCTTTTCTTCCACATTCCCAATGAATGATGGTCCTCTAATCTCCAAACTTGGTCATTCTCTGAGTTCCTTAGATCATGCAGGTAAAGATTTTCCACCCTTAGCTAGACAGAGTCTACAACCCTGTTCAGTATTAAGATGGTTCAGAATATGGAACTTCAGAACTGAGACTGTAGCTCTGTTGACAGAGTGCTTGCCTAGGCAGGCATGAAGCCCTCGGTTCAATTCAATTCCCAGCACCAAATAAACCTGGTATGGGAGACTGCACCTGTGGTCCCAGCAACTCTGGAAGTGGAAGCAGGAAGATTAGAAATTCAAGGTCATCCTCAGCTATATTGTCAGCCTAGGCTACATAAGATCTCTCTGTCTCTCTCTGTCTAGCTCTCTCTCTAAGAGGGGGGTAACCAGTCAACCCTTAAAATTAAGAGACTGAAATCTCAGAGGGAGAAATTGAGACAGAATAGTCAGGGGAAATTAAGGGGACATGGGAGAGAGACAAGGAGCCCTCACTCTCACTCTGCAGGCTGAAAATAAAGATCTCACAAACAAGATTATGAACCATATTTAGTGCAAACGTGTCTAGGGCTAGTGAGATGGCTCACTGGGTAAAGGCACTTGCTGCCAAGGCTGAGGATCTGAGTTCAATTTCCATGGACCCATAAGGTGGAAGGAGAGAGCCAACTCGTGAAGTTTTTCATCTGATCGCCACATGTGCACTGATATACAAGCTTGCATGCGTGCGCGCACACACATACACACACACACACACACACACACACACACAAAATAAACTATAGCAAAAAAAATTTAAACATGTCTACATATTCCTGTGACTATGTATAGGAAGGATTCCTTTGACCTTGTTTCTTAGCAAAATGCTAACCTATACAATGTATCATAAACCACCTATAATCTTTACTAAAGAAAGATTCTTTAGATAAAAATAAGCATACCCAAACAAATTTATTTAGTCTTTTAATTTTTTTTTCTTTGGGGGGAGATGGGGTGAGCAAGGGAAGTGAGATAGTCTTTTGTAGCCCCAGGCTGGCATGGAACTGGCAATGTAGCTGAGGATGACCTTGAACTCCTGACTCTTTTGCCTATTTGCTGGGATTATAGGCCTGTACTGGCTTTACTTAATCTTTTAAACCCTTTGAATGATGCAACTTCAAAAGCCACCATCATATATATCATATATATATGATATATATGTATATGTTATATATAAATCACATATATGTATCATGTATGTGTATATCATATATGTATCGTCATATATATCATATATGCTGTGTATATATCCTTGAGAAGCACCTTCTTTCCTTCTTTTTGTTAAAATGCTTAAAAATGTTTTTGAGACAGGATCTTGTTCTGTAATTCAACTCAGACTGCCCTAGAACTTACTATGAAGCCCAGACTGGCCTCAAACTTGAAGCAATCTCCTTGCTTCAGTCTCCTGAGTGCTGGGATTATGAACATGCATCACTGTAGGCAGCTGGAGAAGCTGTTTTCTTAAGCATCCCCTGCATCAACTCCTGTGCCTAAAATACTAAACCTTTTCTTGAGCAGAGTATGGTGGCACATGCTTGTAATCCCAACATTCAGAGGCTGAAACCAGCCTGGGCTACAGACTAAGATGCTGTCACAAAATAATATGTCCCAACTTTTCTTCATTTAAGGAAATACAGAATTATAGGAAGCTGGTAGGAACCAGTGATGCATTTTACAACTACTTTTAGAAGAAACATAGCATGGACTTTAAACCTGGGATTACACATCTTGGGAATTGAACTCCCATCACCAGGCTTGACAAGAAAGTACCTTCCATCATGCCCATGTTTCCAAATTTTAATATTGTGAAAGAGCTTTGAATTTTCTTGCTATAACTCTAAACATCATATCTGCCAATACTTGTCATAGCTTAGGAAGTAATAAATTTGTAACAGGTATGAATTACATCAGCGTATATTTCACATTAAAAATGTCTTTATGGAATACCAAAGTTGTCAGGGATCACCTCGCCTTGGAATCTTCTTTTTTCCCTAAAAATACATTTTAAAATTATTTAAAAAAAAAAACTATAGTTGTTCTATTAAGTTATGTATTAGTGGCTCTCACTTAAGAAGCTTGTACCCACTGCAGGGTGTGTACAACTGTCCTTCTCTTAGATGGTGCTCTCCCATTATCTTAGTGGCCAAGGTTTAATACTATATCAAAATCTTTTCTTAATAAACTCCAACTTTATTTCACTAAAAATAAACATTAAAATTATCTTTTCTACCACTTCAGAAACAAAAAGCCATGATGTAGCCTGGGTCATGATATACTACATGAATAATAATTATATAAAGAGTTAGTATGTACTGATTATTTACCATGACCTAGACACAGTAATAAATGAGACAAAAACTATACATGCAAAGCTCAGCATAGAGATAAGAAAACTGTGGCAAAAAGGCTCAAAGAAAGAAGTGATCAAGGTATATCTAGATCCAAAGCCTGGGATTTCAACCACTATGCTTATACTATGAGAGCTGAAATCCTGCAATTTAAGCTGGGCAAATCTTAGCACTTGAGAAGCTATGGCGGGAGGAATGCCACAAGCTCCACACCATCCTGGGCTACAGAGGAGTCCCTTTTTTTTTCAAAAAGAAAAAGAAAAACCGAAAATTTTTCACTTATTTCAATTCCCTACATATTCACTAACTCAAAGATCAAGCAGTCGCTCCCAATCATACACATAAATGATAAACAGGAAAAAAATGACCAACTGTTTTGCTGCATTTTTTTTCACCTGCACAGAATAAGCATACATCACACAAGCTTATCCTTAAGAGCCGTTGAAAGAACACTTACAGGCACCAATAAATACACGCGCAATAGAATAAGGTCCTCAGTTCAGGCACAACAGTTATTCCCTTTTCCATCCTAAACCAAAAAGAAAACGCTCTTCCTGGATAGGCCAATTCAACCAGTGTGCTTTTCCTCTTCGGTCACCATAAAAGTCGTAAGCTGTAGGATGCTCCTACCAGCCTATGGCTTCTGGTCTCAAAAACAGCCTTAGGGCCGGCCAGTGCATCCTCAAGACAGCCCCTATGAGCTCTCCTGTCTTCAAGATGCTTTGATGGACCACTGATACACTAATCAAACTACTAGTTACTAAAATCAAAGTCATGTTTGTTCTTTTTCTGCCACCAAAAGCCTCGGGCTACTTTTCACTCGATGTGTACCCTGGAGGACACCCACCACGGACATTCACCAAGGTTCCCGCCGAGGGACCCGGGTTTACCAGCTTGGCGCCCAGTGTGGGCATTCAATATACCCTCCTGAATGAATGAGTGGAAAGCAGCGTGGGTGGAGGCGGGAAGAGGGGGCACGAAGGAATGCCACGCAGCTAGGACCACCGCAGTGGCGCGGGGGCTGGGATGGGCTAGGGCGAGGATCTGGGGCCGGGCCACCTAGTCTCGGGCTTCCGAAAGGCAGGCGCCGTGGGTCCCACACCGGGCAGGAGGTGGCGGGCGCCGACTCCGCAGGCCAGCACAGCACTCCCAGACCTCCGCCAGAGCCTCCGCCCGGCGGCGGGACCTCAGACCCGGCCGACCCGCCCTGGAACCCACGGACGGCCCAGGAACCAGCACTGGCTCACCTGACGGCTCGTCCCGCAGCTCCACTCCCGGTCCAGCGCGAGCCCGACTGCGGCGCGGGCGCGCGAGATCAGCTGATTCACGGGGGGCGGGGCCTCCGGCCAGGGGCGGGGTCTCAGAAAAGCCGGCAGAGGGCGGAGCGGCAAGAGGAGCTGGCGCTCGGAGTGGGTGTGGCTAGGTTGGAGGCGCCGACGGCGTCCGATAAGGATCAAGATTGCTCAGGAGGTTGACAGGCTGCTCAGCCCAGGTGGAACCATTAGTCTTAGTGCGCATTTTAACAGTAACTGAACACAGTCCTCCTGCCCTAGCGTCCGGAGCGTTCTCATGGTAACGGCGGGCCGAGCGTGAGCAAGAAGGCGTATTTTAATAGTTTTTGTTACCTCCTCAAACTGCAAGAGATGGAGTAAAAGAAGTGAAAAATCTTTGTCGGGCGTGACAATACGCTTCTGGAATCCCAGAATTTGTGAGGTGGAGGCAAGATCAGGAATTCGAGGCCAGCCACATAGCTAGTTCGATACCAGCCTGGGCTGCGAGAGGCAAAAAAAAAATTAAAGTGAGAAACCTGAATAGCTTCAAACTGCATTTCTGGACTATTCCCTAACGGAGATCTCTTCCCTTCCCTCGAACGTCATTGCTTGGCAAGGCAGGTTTGCCCGGTGTCCACTTTGTTTTCACACAAAACACTTTGTTTCCACTTTGTTGCAACCTTAAGGTGAGGCAGGAAGTGAGGAGTGAGGCAGGAAGAAAAGAATTGGTCTCTCCTATGATTCCCGTGGGGCTCTCCAAAATACAGTCTGAATAAAATCTTTTAGCTTGCTTCGCACACAATTTTACAACAATCTTTAATATTTGTCGCTGCCTCAGTCCCATTGCGCCCTGAAATTCCCTCCTGAACATTTTCCGGAGCAGCCACACAGCAAGGGTGAACTCTGCAGCTAGCCGGTATGCACAAGTGGACTTGCAAACCTACATTTACTCCATCAAGGTTAGATGCGTACCCCCGGTCTGAAGCTCTGGCGTATAAATGTCCTAAATTGGTCGCCCCCAATCCTGGACTCAGAGGCCTCTCCAGTGCTTTGCCTACCTGTAAAACTTATTCTGGACATTGAACAGTAGGATCAACTTCATCCACTTGAGCGCCAGTGCTGAAAATCACACAACCTTGAGAATGGCGCCACAGTAAATCAAAGATGTTCCGCTGTTGCTGGAGTCATTAGGGTCAGAGCCTGGGCCCTGGCAGTCCTAACGAGCTGGGTCCCCAACGGTCTTCAATAAGCCAATTAAGGAGACAAGAGTAAAAAACATGTATTCAATGTGGCCACGTTGGGAAGAACAAATAAAGAGGGCCGGTAACAAAGTCCGTCTTTCCCGTCCTGACATAAGGCTTAGGTTTAAATGGAGGGAAAGAGCTACAGTTAAGGTGTGATCATTAACACATCATGTCTCAGCTTCTGGTCCTGTGAGGTGGACTTACAAGTTGTTAGAACTGTGTGAAATTTCTTCCTGGACATCAAGCGCCCCCTCTGGCAGACACCAGGAACTCCAGCCTTTCTTTTCCCCAGCAGGAAATTCCTAAAGAAATTCCAGTTCCCTGGGGCCCACTGTTTCAGTAACCCAGTCGCCAAAGGGAGGGCACAAGTGTTTCTTTAGAGCATCTCCGTTCTTGTCAGGACGGTTCATAGCTTCAGTTGGGACATCCATGTACCAGACTATATCTATCATTGAGCTTAAAAGACAGTTGCACACTAATTAGAGTATCTCCTAGTCCCCTGCCCAGCTATCCCCACCCTCACTTACTCCCAATCTCTTACTGAACTCTCTCTATCCTGCCCACCACTTTGGGTAAAAATGAAAAATTAAAATAAAAAACTTACTCTATTACATTTCTGAAGAAAGTGAGACTGCTGAGGTGAAGTCCTTAATTCCCACCAGCTGCTATTACAAAATCTACCTTGCGATCCCAGCCTTCCCATTTCCTGGGAAGAGATGGTTTGTCCTCTCAAAAGTAATCCACCTGATTTAAGGAATCCTTCACCTATTATTCATCCCTCTCATCTGTTTTCAATCCCATCTCTGTTCTTATTCTTCCCTTTAATATATAAGCCTGCTGCAGTTTCATTTTAATCATTTTTTTCTATCTCATTTCTTTTGCAACCTAATTTTCTACCTCCACATTTTTTTAATTTTTATTTTTTTGTGTAAGAGTGTATTGCCTGCATGTATGTAAGTGCACCTGTGTCATGCAGTGCCCCCAGACATCAGAAGAAGGAGTTGGAGCCCCTGGAACTGGAGTTAGCCACCATGTGGATGCTCTTAACTGCTGAGCCATCTCTCCAGCCCCTACCTCCACTTTTTAAATTTATTATTTTATTTTATGTGTATGAGTGTTTTACCTGCTTATATGTAAGTATACCCGTGCATACAGTGCCCATGGAGGCCAGAAGAGTGTGAGAGATCCCCTGGAACTGGAGTTACAGGTGATTGTTAGCTGCCATGTGGGTTCTGGTAACTGAACCCAGGTCCTCTGCAAGAATAGCCAGTGCTCTTAACTGTTGAGCCATCTCTCCAGCCCTCTACCTCTACTTTTTGATGACCTAGCCTGACTCATCCCAGTCTGTAATCTCTGCTTTTTCAGGTATGAAGGCAGTAGTCACCTCCTAATTTTGTAATCTAATATAATGTAATCTAATAACCATACAATATAACTGCTCTGTAACAAGCCTATAAAAGAAAGATGATCTAGACATTCGGATCTGGAAGTTAGATTAATAGAGGAAAAAAAGCTAGATTCTGAGTTGTGTGTATAGTAGTCTACTAGCTATGTGTTGTTACCTATGTGGCTTTTCAGATGATACATGGTAGGTAGGGTGGTAGATAAATATGACATATATCTTTATTCTTATAACTGCATATCTTAGCTCTGAGAGAAATGTACTTAAGAATTGTCCTATGAATTACTGGACAGAGAGGCCTCAGAGGCCCCCCAAACAATCCATCATTCTTGGATGCCCACTGTAACTAGATGTTGAGACCCTATTGCTGAAGACACCACATATTTTGGTTGCAGGACCTAGAGAAATCAGTTTGGTAGTGACCAGTAAATTTCTTCCCCTAGCTAGCTTTTATAGTGCCAGAGGTGCTATGCAGGCTACTGAGGGAGAAAAGACCCTGCATGCTACAGTACAGACCTGCCAGCAAGATGGGTCTACCGTTGAAGTAGTGGCATGATTGTTATGGGGGATAACCAACTGCTTTCTGAATAGGTTTAAGGCTGGCTCCACAGAAAGGAATTCGTGCCTGGTATTATTAGCTTGGTCAAAAGCCTGTGACTGGAGAAGTCTTAGGCTCTAGGAGGAACCTACTACAGTTGTGCTAATTGCTCAGGTTGTGAAACTGCCTCCTAAATGTGTGTGTTTATACCCATAGATTTGTTCTTTTCTCAGCCTTGGTTCAGAGAAGCTTCTTTTTACAATGGACAGAAATTAATAACAATAACTGGTTCAAATGCTGAGAATAAGTGACTGAAAGTTCAGCCCTAAATAAAACATCTATATCTGCCACCCCCCAAGGCCCAGAGCATATCACACAAGAGGGGAAGAAAGAATTTAAGAACCTGAGGATGGGGGAGAGCTCCATGAAATGCTATTTCTGGACATGAAAATGGCCACTGCACTCATGCACTCACAACAGCTGTGGTTACCTGCACACCATCAACCCACTCAAAATTCCAGCAGGGATGTGGGAGTGGCAATGAGGCTCTACCCCTAGCAGAGGAGCTATTGGCAATTGATAGTTTCTGGGAGAGGAACATTTTTCTTTGAGGAAGTGGCCACTGGTAGGTTATCCATGCTCCTGTGAATGGCCCCACACCCATGGGCAGACAGAAAACACTAATTGGACTCAGTGGGTTATATTTTTTAACAGGCTATGAAGTTGGGAGGGGGATATGTTAGGGGAATCAGGGGGAATTGGGGGTGGATATGATCAAAATACATTGTATCCATGTTTGAAATTTTCAAAAAAATAAAATATATTATATAAAAAAGAATGTCCAGCCTGGACAGATGGCTCCATGGTTAGGAGTGCTTACTGCTCTTCCGGAGGAACCAAGTTTGGTTTAAAGCACCCATATCAGGCAGCTCAAAATTGCCTCTTCTGGTCTCCATAGGTAACTGCACACATGTAGCATACCCACAAGAGACACACACATACACATAAATTTTAAAAATCATTTTTTAAAATGGGAGGTGGTTAAGAGTACTGGCTGCTCTTACAGAGGACCTGGGTTTGGTTCCCAGCACCGACATGGCAGCTAACAATAGTCCATAACTCCCAATTCCAGGGGATATGATACCCTCTCCTGACCTCTGTGGGCATTGCATGCCCACGTGCACTTACATACATGCAGGCAAAACACTCATACACATAAACTAAAAATAAATTTAAATTTAAAAAATGCCCACCTACTACTGGGGAGAAGAAATGGGAACAAGAGAGTGAGAAAAACTAACTTTTCACTGTCATTTTTTTAATAAAAAATTTATTGAGAATTTCATACATGCATATAAGGTGTTTGAGCAAATCCATGCCCACTCCCTCCCTGCCAATTCCTCCCGTATCTCCCCATCACTTTTTTCTGATAACTTCAAGTACTTTTTCTTCTTTGATGCTTTTTGCTACTCTAATATTCCCCCCTCTGAAGAGTTAACCCTAAAATCTTTGGAGGATTAAATAAAAACTCCCAAATACTTTCAACATTTTTGGCATTTGGAACAGAGTATGTAGCTAAGAAGCCCAAGGACATATTGACTTTTAGCGAAGAAGCTGGCTACTTTTCTTTGGGGTCTTTTTACCCTTAACTGCCTAGCCAATTCCTACCTCCTATTCTTATCACACCATC